TGTGTGCGTGCATATGTGTGTGTGTGTGTATGTGTGTGTGTGTGTGTGCGAGACAGACAGACAGACAGACAGACAGACAGACAGACAGACAGACAGACAGACAGGTAGACAGACAGGTAGACAGAGGGAGAGAGGGGGAGAAAGAGAGACAGGGAGAGAGAAAGAGAGACAGGGAGAGAGAGAATGAGACAGGGAGAGAAAAAAGACAGACCGACAGAGAGGGAGAGAGAGATGGCAGAGGGACACTGAAGAACGAGTAGATTTTCTGAAAATTAAACGGACTATTCCTTTAATTACGGTGATATTATTTTTTCAGATCTATAGAGACGAAGTAATGTATCTGCATCTTTTTAATGTATGTTAACTTAAGCCAAAAACAAGTCTTACAGTTTATGGCTGAGGGAGGCAGGGGGTTGCCTAAAATATGCGATAGAAATCACAGCCTCCTTCTTTGTTAAACGCCTAGTAACCTCGTGAACTAACAACAAAGGGTACTACATTTTGTCATGACATGGCAGCATCCCTGAGCATCGCCGTGGCAGCGATCACCGCGCGTAAGTGTTTTGGCGCCCCGCGCCGGGCGATACGCGAAACAATGCACTGTTGTTATGGAGCGCCGCCACGAGTGTCACCTCTATTACTGTAAACCCTCTCTGGTATGACTAGAGAGTAACATTCATTCAAAGAAAAGGAGGAGAGACAAGGACGACAGGTGTTAAATAGGAAAAAAGGAGCAAACCACACCGGAGTGCCCGAAACCACCTATGATGTGTTGAAATTATGTCACCTCCTAAACCAACACCTATAAGGTCACCACAGTCGCAACGGTACCTGAGTGATCAATGATGAATTTCACAGCCGGCTGAGGCTCCGTGTAGGCGTTGTCGTCCGCATTCTGTATGAGCTCCAGCACAAAGTGGGTGTCCTTGCTGTACAGGTCCTTGGACAAACGCTGCAAGCTGCGACCCTGGCGCTCTTGCTGCTTCTGCAAAACGGAAAATTTGACTTTTCCTCTCAGGCATTGAATAAGTTTGAAGGTTTAGTTTTAGTACGAGTTTTCCTGCACTTGCAACACAAATTTGTCATATAAGTGCTGAAGATAGGACGTGTTATAAGAGAGTAATATGCAAACAAAAGAAGGAGGAGAGAAAATGACAATAGATATTTGATAGGAAAAAAGGAGCTAACCACATTACTGAAAATTCACATACACAATGGTATCTCACATCAACACATAAAGCGGAAAAAAGGAAGTACATTCTTGAGTAACTTTTGGCAAAAGAAAGACTTATACAGTGCTCATGATCTAACAGTAGCAAAAAC